GTACCACATGCAACACGCTCCCGTCAAAATAGACAAACGATTTACCAAAACTCTGGAAAACGGAAAATCAAACAACGGAAACGACACCAAAACCGTTCCGCAACACAATGGAGTGGCTAAGAAACCTCCAGACTGTTGGACTCGTTAGGGATGCCACCGTAGCCCGGGCCGAAGATCACGGCTGCAAAATGTGGTAGGTTGTGGGATCTGCTGCTGCCTTCCCACATCTTGACCGCTTGGGAAACGAGGTTGTTGTGCTGCTATAACTGCGAGGGCAAACGACATTGCTTATCAACCTGCAATTTCTTAACCCCGTGAAAACCTTTCACACTACTACCACACTACCCGCCCGAGCGCGCCTCCACCGCGAGGGCAACCCGCAACACGATCTTAATGGGCACGAAGCCGAAGGAACGCCGCTCGGGAAACCTCCCCTGCTAATTTTACAAAATGGCTAAAACCACCCTCGAAAACTCAGAAATGAAACCCTGAAAAGAACAAACTACTAATAATCAATTCTGGCTCAAACAGACACCCACGCATTCAAATGCAAATGACCCAGGTGCGAGACTGCCGCCAACATTCTTACAGACAATCCACACAAAAACTGTCGGAAAGGAAAAGCAAACCACGTCCTGTACTTCACACTACCCAAACCTTCTCTTTCAGGAACAGGCCTCTGCTTCTCTAACGTCAGCGACCCAAACCAGTCCGCCTGTACCGGGTAGGAGGTGTTTCCGAGGTGCGTCCGCTGGTCCTGCTGCAGTTACAGCTGTCGCCATTGTCCTGGATTCTACACAGCTGGTGCGGGAAGTCTACGAATCTGCGACGTTATCTTAAAACAGAAACACGTACACGTCAAAGAGACACCACATATCTCTTTTTCTACCCACTTAAAAGTTCAAGAGTGCAGCAAAGAACAAACAACATTCATCTGCCAAGCTCACTACCCAAAACCACCAGTTAGTAACGAATGCAATACCACGTGCAACGCATTCCCTCCAAAAACGAAATGTTACCAACTCGGGAAAACAAACAAAAACTCATGGACACAAAACGACAGCAAAAACCGTTCTGCACGCCTCCAAACCGAAGGAGTCGTCGTGGAAGCCTCCAAACTGCTGGACTCGCCAGGAAGACACCGACACCCAAACCGAAGACCAGTGCTGCAAAACGTGGGAGGGCTGGGAGGGCACGCCCGGCACTAGCACGTCGCTCCAAGCTGGCGTAGCGGAGGCTTCCAATGATCGCAATGGTGATTAGCCTGGCTGGCATTCATATTTAAAGGGGTAATGACGTCATGCAGGATTTAACCAATCACAGCGCAGTGTAAATAGCGCCGCTGCTGTGTTGCACCAGCCCCCTTCAACTTGCGCACACGAATTCTGGCGGTCAGCCTGGCTGGTGGACTGCTGGCGTTATTCAATAACCATTGGCAAAGTAAACTACTAACAACAACTAGACTCCGTTTGCGTAACGCTTGACCAGCACGGTACCTCACCTGCACGTATTGTGTTGTTATCATATCAGGCATGTCGAGGGACTGTAGTCCCTTTAGACGCTCTGTTTCCCGGCTGTTGTCAATCTATGCCTGAACTAATCTTAATTAAGCCTGTAGTCTTTTACAACTTTGGACTTCAAGCGATGCAGTGGACAGTTCTGCATTTTAACTATTTCGCCAGTAACACCAAACCGAGCATGCGAATAGTTCTTATTGTTGTCTTTTTGCTTCGCAGTTATTTGCCCTTTTACATGCCAACAATAACAGTTTGTGTTACCATTATTTCATTCGTGTACCTCGATTTCTATACATCAGACGTTCCCGTTCCTATTGAATGTTTGTTACATGCCCTCCATTGATATTTTTAGCAGTACACTTTGTTATTGTTAGGTGGCGCTGTGACAGTAACGTTGTAAGGTGCACAACATTTTGTTCTTACAGCCTTACACAAAATTGGCTTACATATTGGTTGATTCAACTTACCACATTACAAGAATAACTAAAGAAAGAATTAAAAAAAAACAGTTTTACCGCCCTGAAATAATGCCTTTAAGAAAATGCATTCCCTATGATTCAATATGATTCATGATCAATTTTTCATTATGACATTTTTTCCTGATTACCAGGCCTCAGGTCGACCATGTGCAGTCAAATGCTTCAACAGTCTGAGTTACAGCAGACCACGGGAAATACAACAGAGGGAATTCGAAGTTCTCAAAAAGCTAAAACACAGAAACATCGTGCAGCTCCTTGCAATAGAGGAAGAGGTAAAATATGATTTTTTTTCTCTTTTTTCTCTCTTTCGACACACCTCTTTATACACAATACATAACGTTACAACAAAAAGAGTTTGCTACTATGAGAAGATTTAATTTCTAGATGCACTTTGTTTCTTCATCAACCCGGTAAAGTCAGATCTCATCTTGGAGTTCTCTTGTGACGTGACTTTTTTTTCTTCTCATTTGTCGTCCATATAGACTGGATTTGTACCACTGTAAGCTTTTATGGCCAAGTTGATTTGATTATACGGATGGCATCCTCTAGGAAGTCCAAAACTGATGCAAGTGTGCGAATAAAAAAGTTTGGCAAAAAAGTTGCCTTCATCATGAAATCTACGTTGTCATGAAGGTTGAACAAATGGCTAAACACATAAAGTATGGTAAGGGGAATAATAGACTCATATAATCAAATCAACATGGACTAATTGCATGAAGACTTCATAGCAACTTTGAATACTTCACTGAGGTGTTAAATCGTCGATGTGTTGTCCCATGTAGAGTTCTTCCCGAGTGCGGGTGATTGTGACGGAGTACTGTGGCGGCGGGAGTCTCTACACACTTCTGTCTCAGCCGGAAAACTCGCGAGGTCTACCGGAACCAGACTTTCTTACATTCCTCTTCGACATTTGTAAGTATGGGCGTAGAACCCTACCCTGGATGCCAGATTAGTATCGGGCCGTTAGCCGATTTCCTTCGGCAGACAAGAGCCCTTCGCCCGCCAATCTAGTTTAGCTAGCTACGGGGGAGTTGAGACCGGGGGGAGTTTGGCCGGCCCTAGCTAAGAGAGCTGACACCAGACTCATTGTAAGGGCCAGTCAAATTTCCCTCGGACTAGTCTTCCCCGTAACGGTAATTTAGACCGGCGGACGAAGGGCTCTTGGCTGCCGAAGGGTAACGGCTAGCGGTCCGATACTAGTTTGGCATCCAGGGACGTAATTACCCTGTCACACATTGGGAACCTTCCCCGGAACACCAGCCGACCAAGGTTGGCTCGAGTTCGGAAGAAGTCTGACCAGGCTTAGGCTATAGCTAGGCCTACCTTTCGATACGAATAGAATTTGAGTTAAATTTGAGTCAAATTTGACTGCCAACCACACTCCAACCTACTCCCGAACACCAACCAACCACCACGTTCGTACATAGGCTGTGGAACTTTTACCTTATTTTTCAAAGGGAAATTTCCTCTACTATTTTACCCACTAGCCGATGCAATGAAGTACCTCCGTGCGAACGGTTTCGTCCACCGCGATCTGAAGCCCGGTAACATCCTGAAGACAGTGGACGAGGCGGGCAGAACGGTTTTTAAACTTACCGACTTCGGCGCAGCAAGGTCGCTACAGGACGACGAGATGTTCAGGACCATCTGTGGAACAGAGGAATTTCTGGTTTGTGTTTCAATAATTCGGGTCCGTATCTTTCCGTTGCGTAATTTGTAATGGAAATGTTAGTTAAAATGTCTGCCAATCATTCTTTAACAAAGATATGAGTAGTTAGTAGTTACATGAACGTCTCGTACATCTGTTGTTTCCGTGTTACAAAGTTCTTTTGTTCCAAGCTTAGCCGATCAATTCATGAATAAGCTTGATACCCCGTTAATCTTTCGGCCAGAGCTTCACGGCACACTACCAAGTGACTTGGGTCTTTTCAACTTGAGAAGGGTCAGAGCTCTAGCTGGCCAAAAGCTTGATGGTAAGCTATTTTTCCTCTGTGTACGGTTACTTAAGTTTCTGAACTTTATGATGTACTCTTAATCTTCTCCAGCATCCTGAGATATATGCACGCGCACTCCTACAGAAGAACAAGGGCCAGTCATTCCGAGCTACAGCCGACCTGTGGAGCATCGGCGTCACTATCTACCAGGTGGCCACGGGCAGTCTGCCTTTCCAACCGTACGGAGGACCACGGAGGGACCGGGAGACTATGTAAGGCCTAATCTCCAAGCAGATCTTTCGGTGGGGGGAAAGACAGTTAGCTAAGTATCAAATTTGCCAACCGAAAGGTTGGGAAATGGATACTGCCTAGCAAATTTGATACTGATTTTCCCCCACCGAAAAATCTGCTTGGAGACTATGTAAGGCCGGCTATCCTTATTTCAGCACTAAGGACAGGGCCCGCAAGCGAACATTAAGACACTGTCACACACTCAGGACCTTTCCACGACTGCTGCCGACCACCCCGGCCCAGGTCGGCGCTGGGTTGGGAGTAGCCGCGAATCCATTCTATTCTAGCTCCAGTTCGTTCCTCTGATCGCATCTACATGTAAGCCGAATATGGCTACACTGTGGTTGATAATACAAAATATTCTATTAACTTCAGACCATAGTCAAAAAACATGTTATAGGAGCATATAAGTGATCAAACCTGAAGGAAATGTTCTTTTTTTGCTCGCCAAACGTAACAGCGATGACTTATGTACTCCAGGTTTAAGATTGCTACAAGGAAAGGGAAGGGAGTCATTTCCGGAGTCCAGATTGAGAAGAACGGACACATCATTTGGAGCAAGGAGCTTCCAAACACATGTGAACTGTCAGGGTGAGTAGGCATTGGGATGACCCCACATACTTCTCTTCTAGTACGTAGGTTTTATTTTCGGTAGTTATTTGAATACACTAGAATAGTAAGACAGAGAGAGAGAGAAGGAATGACGTAACCGCAGATTGACAGGAAGGTCGATTTGGAGGTCAGTTGAAAATCAGTACAGGGAGCAGGAAATATGGGGGATAACATCAGAGAATGGACCAGTATGACACTAAGTGTTACTCTAAGAGGGACAGAAAACCGAGAAAAGCGGAGAAAACTGGTTGTCTGTGGTACCCCAAAAGTCGAATAATTAGACAAAGGAATAGATGAGATTAATCTTAAGCTCATACTCACTATCTACACGCAGGTCATTGAAGGCACTTCTCACGCCTATACTGGTCAGACTTCTCGAGAGTGACCAGTCCAGAGAGTGGACGTACGACGGCTACTTCTCGGCCGTGGAGGAGATCCAGACCAGCAGGGTGGTGGACGTCTTCATGTTCCGGACAGGGCGGGTGGAGAAACTCTACATGCACGGAGAGAGCACGTGAGTACACACGTCAGGGTAAAGATTGCGAATCGCCTATTCTACCGACAGGGATCACGATCGGAGTCTGTAAGCAATTCTTTTAGATATTTGCTTAAAAGACAAGTTCTATTTGACCTCCGTCGGTCAGTATTGACCAGGGTAAAGTCCTAATTGTTAACAGCCCTACAGCTTCGACTATGGCTGAACAGTCCTATACGAGCATGGCAGTCTCTGCCGCATAGGGCACATTTGTGAGCTGACTCATCATCAGGTCTGTTATAGTGTTCTTTTCTCCGGGTCCACTTCTCTTCTGCACAGTGCATCAGTCTATCGTCTCCTGATTTCAGCTGTCTGGACAGTGTGATTCTCCGGCTGGGCCGGTCATTGGCAAGGTCCTCTCAATGCTCTATGTCAATGTCGAGAGCCTTTATTCCGGTCGACACAGACGAAAATGGATGCTACTTGAAACGTCAGACCGTTTTCAAAATCTTTCCAGTTGCTTGAGTAACTATTTACTTGATCGTGTGATTGGCTTCTTAGGTTAGCAGAGTTTCAAGAAGAAGTAGCGTCTAAGACGGACGTCAGGGCCTCAGAGCAGCAATACTTCTTGAAGGGGAGACCCTTCTGTCCGGACCCGCTGCAAACTCTGTCCTCGTGGACACAAACAGACGACAGGGAGCCTCTGATTCTGGTGACATCCATGGACGATGACTCCAGGAGCTGTGTTGTTCCAAGTGTCGGTAAGTTTAGGAACCAGGGACCAAAAAACCTTGCTTACGTTATTACATATAATGAATGAAGGCCTTTATTGTACTTTTTGCCCCACTGAACTATAGCTTAGCGCAAAGCATAGATCACATGTGCATGTTAACAATCTTATGCAATGTTTACTGTCTGGTCTTTCTTTTATCTCATAGGCAACATTCCGGAGTTTCCCTACAAACCATCTCTTCAAGAAGATGCGGAAACTGCAAAGGTACGAACAAGCCATATGCTATAGAGGCATCCATCTTTTTATCATATATGATAATTATAGTATTTAGCATATTCGACGTCAATACTGTCGTAGGCAATGTTCCCTACAACAGTATGCAGCCTTTGTTAGTCCTTACTATAAGCTCAGTAAGTCAAGCTTGTCTCGATCATGATGTTTCTGACTTAGTTTAGTTCAGTGCCTAGCCTAGAACTAGTCTCTCAGACTTGCTCTGACTCTGAGCAAATTCTTTTATTTTCGGCTTTTAGTAGTCTGTCGAACTGGTTGGGATTTTTAGGCAATAAGGTATCGGGGTATGTGTGTATGTAATAACTTATGCTTGTTAAACCGCACTGCATTTTGACATTGGGTAACATCAAGGAGCTTTGCTACCGTCAGTACCTACTCATCGTATTGTGTACTTTCCGACAAAATCGCCATGTATGTGCAATAGTGCAATGTAAAACTAATAACTTTTTTTCCAAAGGAAATCATGTTCGTCGTTCACAAAGTCAGAAGAGCATCTTGTCAATTGAGGGATATTGCAACACTGCGCTGGGCGGCGGTCGAGTGCGTCGTGTGAGTATGATACTAGTAATTGTCTATCCTTTATGACAACCGTTAAAGTTAGCATGAAAGTTCATCTGTGTTGGTACAAGTCATAATGTAATAAAGGCTAAGCTTTCTTTCCAGCACTGGAGTTTCGAAAATTTGGGGTAAAGCCTTAATTTATTCCAGTGTTTCAAAGAAAGCTTAGTCTTTATTTCATAACCGTTAAAGTTCGTGACGGTCTAGGTGCTGAAATTCCTCTCGGAAAGTTACTGATGTGTTGATTGAATTGTCAGCCCGGCTAGCTCAGTCGGTAGAGCATGGGACTCTTAATCCCAGGGTCGTGGGTTCGAGCCCCACGTTGGGCGATCCCTTTTTTATGGACGTGATACGGGATCGAAAGGGTCACGGATTCGATTTCCAGCATTCATTGCCTGACCTTGCTATAGCACGTTTTCCACTTTCCACATATGGTCATTTTCAACGAAGCGGACAGCTGTTGATGTCATCTTGATGTGCATTTCAATGGCCGTTATTTACGTTTGGTTGAAGATTTGGTTACCGCAAATTGACCTTAAGGTCAAGTTGGAAGGCTAGGAAGACGTCAGTTCACCCACACAGCTCCTGTGGGTACACCCACTTGTAGTTCGTGGGAGGAAGGTACTGAGGGCGCGTCAGGACAAGGTCTCAAGCTGCAAGGTTCCTGCAAGGCCCGTTAAAAAGTACAACATCAGAACATCTCGCGTAGGTAGTGCCAACACAAACCCTGTACATGAACCAGTACAGGTTAGGTGAAAGTAGACATCAGAAATACCTGCACAGCTCCAATTTTACCTGCAGGTGGTATTTTGAGCCCTGCCATTCTATTAACACTAACGTTAACTGTTCTACTTCCAGGCACTTGCTACGTGCAGACTTTGAAAGCCTCATGAATCACGTGACCGGACTGCACATCACAAAGTCTGCCTTAGACACCGCTTCCCAGACGGTCCATCAGCTGTAAGATAGTTTTTCTTTAACAATGGCTTTATTATATTTCTATATAATAGATATTCCGGAAAAAACACAGTTTCTATACACGTTCAGAACCTAGTATATTGCTTAGTTGTCTTCAGTTTCTATGATTGGCCCTTGGCATGAATTCTGTACATTAGGTCATGTTGATTTGATTATATGGATCACATCCTTTGGGAACCCCAAAACTGATGCGAGCGGGCGAATAAAAAAACGTTTGGCGAAAAAATGTTTCCTTCATTATGAAATCTACGTTGTCATGAAAGTTGAACAAATGACACAGAGTATGGTATGGCGAATAATCTATTCTTCAAATTTATTTCTTTACATCTTCGCCTTTTTCGTTTGATTTTGGCATTCTACGACATATTGGTATCGGTTTCCAATCTTGCAACTTACGGTATATATTTGCTTATTTTGCAACTGTTTTGTACGATTTACAGTATGGTCGAAAACTTTTTTGGGGAAAGGGACGAAAATTCATGCACGCGCGGATGTCATCCATACAATCAACTCAACATGGCCTTATTACAAAACATACCATATTAGGCAAGAGGTGTGCAGCAGCAGTCCCCCAGACGGTCGTGGAAACGGCAACGAGATGTCTGAGAAATCCCCATCGGGTCATCTTGGCGCGTCGTCAGGCGATAACACCAGTACTCAGCTCGCTGAGGTAGAGAATCGGTTTTCTTACCTTCAACAAAAATGTAATGTTTTTGGAACCGTCCATGTATGTGTTTTTGTGTGTGTCAGCACGATAACTCGGATGGATTGTCTTTTTTAAAGATTGATGTTTGGTTTCACTATGTACTATTTATGTTTTATAAATTATTTTTGTTTTGCACAAATACATAGTCTCCTGTTTTGTGGACTTTTTAGGCATTTGGGAGGGGGGGGGGCTTTCTAATTGTGTCAAGTGATTTACCAACTTACATGTAGATGGATTTTCATGCTAAATGTATAAAGTATGATTTTCAGCTGGAAAAAGAGTTTGCGGACATGACTGACATCATGATGCTGCTTGAAGGCCGACTGGAAGGTGACGAAGCTTTCAGACTCCCTCTCCCCAGCACCGACACACTGGCAGACATGGACACCACGTGAGTTGTATAGGAAGTCAGGCCTCGAAATAGTTGTTTTCTGTATGCCTGCACTTCTGCAAGTAACACTAAAAATGACCTGCACCAGGCACAGTTTACCTGCACCACTCGTAATTGTGTAGATCACACTAAAACTCTTCAGAAACCATTGCCATTATTTCTTTTAAACTCCACAGACCTATATGAAGTCAATTCAGCTAATAAAAATCCACACACGCATACATTTGTATGTAAACCCAGTATATGGACCGGTGCAGGTTAGGTGCAGGTAGACATCAGCAATACCTAGTGACACATCTTCAGCCCTGAAAGTGTTCTTTACTGTCGTCACGAGTATTTCTAAAAGGATCCAATTTCCGCCGTATTGAGAGGTGTACTAGTAATCAACAGGCGATAAATAGTTGCGCATCGCAGACCCAGCAGGCTTTTTTTTCTACTACGCGCAGTTTTCTGATAGCTACTGGATAATGTTTTCTCCAGATTCATATTAGGTAATCTCTCATGGTAACAGTGCATCCGCAGCAGAGCACTAGTGTATTTAATAAAACTGGACTGTGTTCTGTACAATTGCTATCTTTTCTAATTAATTGCTATCTAATTGCTATCTACGTCTATCTAAACACACCTGTTACCTAGGGCCAGGGATTTGGTTTATGAATGTACAAGTGTAACTTTGCAAACTGAAATACATTGATTTAAAACCAGTGTTGCGAATTGACATATGTAACATCAGTGTTACCTTTCTATCTAACTTGTAACACCAAACCTAACTATGTAATACCAGTCTTCCCAATAGATACCTTTCTACCTAACTTTGAGTGGAGTGGCATTCATTTCTGTTAATCGTTTGAAAACGTTCCAGCTCGTCTAGGATACATCACATTGAAGAGGAAATCTCCAAGATCCACCAGGAATTCCAACGGCAAAGAAAAGAAGCCAGTAAGTTGTCCATGCACCACCCTGAGACTGGTTAATTCCCCACATGTCACGAAAGTATCTAATATGAATTCCGTATTGTGATGACTTGTCCTACTTACATTGTACTTACTAACTACATATCAAATTACCTATTTTCAGGACTGGCCTATCATGATGAAAAAATCCATAGTCTGGCAAGGTGGGAAAATATGTCTTTATATATACACAGAAGTTTCCATCCTGTAAGTTTTTTGTGTGAACAGGATAACTCGAGATTCTGTGGATGGATCGTGATAAAATTTAGTAGGTTTGTGAGGATAATAAAGAGGAAGGTCAAGTTTAAAAACTGCCTTCATGGTGGGTTCGTACGTCGCTGTAGGGGACCTTTTGATCTTACTTGGTTCGTCTGTTAGACTCGATATTTTTTAGAAATTTCTTTATTACAATGAAATCATACATCACTTACAAAAGACACATGTGACAAGGTGAGAAAATATCTAGTTAGACTCGAGATGCTGTTGATGGATGTTCACGATTTTTAGCAGGCAAGTTACTATTGCTGAGACGAGGGCCAAATTCGATAAAAGGCCTTATGGGTGATCCTATGTTAGTCATTTTGTCCCATGTTCAGGCAAAAGATTAAGAAATCGAATTCATATGTTTATGAAAGTTTTTTTATGCACGCGTTGACAGGGAAAGAATTCGTGTGGAGGGTGAGAAAGCACGCTCCGTTTATCTGAAGGAGTGTTCGTCAATATTCCAGCAAGTATGGACGAAAACATCCACCATCATGAAGTAAGCAACAACACACTGTCCATTTTGTGACCTAGTTGTATTAAATCAAGTGTTAGCCTTCAGAGGTTTTATCAGCGTTTGGGCATTGCTGTTTCGGGTTGAATTATATTTCCTTCAGTGGCATAAGCCTCATGTGTGAACTTGATCAACATTACTGCACGTTTAAAAACTCAACACGCGTATTGACAAGTGTAGGTGTGAGCCAGTGTGTCATGCTAAGGGGCCCAAAACACAGCGTACACTTTTATTACACTAGCCAGAACGCTGTTGACGCGCTGTTGTGATAGCGTCCACCGGGCCTTTCTATATGGGGTTAGAATGTTAGATTTCGGCAGAAATAGGGTAGGGCCAGGGTAGTGGGTCCACCGTTCGTACGTATTTCATTTCATGGACTCTACGGTGGTAAAACTTCCCTGGTCCCTAGTCGGCTAAATTCTACTTTTTTTTAAGTATCTATCTATAGTAAGTATCCTTTGCAGGCTGAATAAATAGTAGAAATCGGCATGAAAAGAAATGTAACTGACCAGGGGAGTTAGCCGGCCATAGAGGGTCTAATTTGCCTGCATTTCTACAATTTATTCAGCCTGCAAAGGAGTCTGGTGGAGACTATAGCTATATATAGAGAGGATACTACTGTTGTGCTCTTGAAGTCCTGACATGATGTTGTTAATTTCTCGCCCGCAGGAGGTGTGTGGAGTACCAGACCGAGATCAAAGAGACACTTCGACTTATTGATGTCTGGATCAGTCAAACAGCCTCCTGTCTGAAAGAGCTTAATAAGGTGTTTATATTACATACATGTATATCTTCCACCAGCTGTAGACGTTGGTCAGGCAAACGCTAATGGTATAGGCCAAAGAGGCGGCAATGGCTTAGTGGTCAGACTATTATCTATATGGTAGTCATGGGTTCTTTTTCCGATATTCCTCAATAAACATTGTGTGCTTGGAAAAGGCAGTTGCCATGAAGTTCCTCACTCTGCTTATGTGTAAAATAGGTACCTGTTTGGGAAGGTAAAAGGCAGTTGAAGGAGAGGGAACTGTAGACTGACCACTGCTCCTACAGCCCCTAAAAGACCGTGTGACATAATCCATTTTAAAGTAAACTTTTCCAAGTGTTAACAAAGAAACTAAAGGCTTATTAACTTGAGTGCCTTGGAATGAAGAAAATGCATTTTCTTCTTTTGTGTTCATGTATCTTGACCTGCCAGAATATAAGACGGGTCCCTCAGGTAAGATTTTCAAGAATGGCCTTGGAATGATTTACATGTAATTTTTTACCTATTTTGTTATAGAACCGTGTTTTGATTTCTTTCCGGGATTGATTAAGTAAGGGTAATCCCAAAAGCCATTTAAGTAAGTAAGTTTCTTTCTATTGCGAACTGAGGAATTGCCCAATGAAGTTTTCCACATACTAGTATATAATAGTCTATCAGGAGACAGATATCTTTGGGGGATTTGTTTTGAAAATCCTGGTAATAGAGTTACTACTACCACTGGATCTCAAATAGGTAAAAGCTGATTTCCATTGCATGTGTTTTTTTACCTTACCCCCAGGCTAGTTTGTTAAAAATACTACTCAACCTTGGAGGAAACGTTTAATTGCAGCAGTTGTCTATGGATACCTGTTTTAGATTTTTGCTTTCATTTACTTCTGTGTCATTTACTCTTTTGTATCTTTTCTCAAATCCTACTTTGTGCCCAGACATTTTGAACGATACTTCCATGATAACTAATTTTTCGTACAATAAAACGTTTTGCGTTTTAAAATGTTTTCACGTGCTCAGCAAGCCGATGACTGTGCCAGTCTAAGAAAGTCATCAGACAGAAGTAACACATCAACACGCTCTGTTACTGAAGAGGAAAAGGAAAAACAGACGAGGAGACAATTGGAAGATAAGAAAGCTCTACAACAACGGTGAGGCTTCTAAAACTTTCAAATCTATTACATGTGTTTTAATACGTATCAAAAAGTCCTGCATATACCTGATATGTTTTGAAACTGACATCAAGTCGACTTAGTTATCCTAGTTATATTTTATTAGCATTATATGACATTATTGTTATTTAGATATTTACTGTAACTAATTAAAACTCTTGAGACACGTTCAGTGATGTTTTTACCTAAAAACATCCAACAGGATGCACGAGTTAGCGAGGAGCCAGAAGGAAATAGAACTGGAAGCAGAAGTCAGCAAATCTCTTCTTGAGAGGTAAGAAAGACTCAAGTGATGCATTGTGGTCTAGGTCAAAGTTCAACTCCCAACTTGGTCAAGTTTGGAGGTCTTTTATGCAATATGGCAGAACGTAAAGAAAATTTGTGTAGACTTCTGTACGACAGCCGAGCGTTGCAACAACGTATAGATTAGGAAAATCGTTTACCTAAACTATTTTTATTCTTATCGTGTCTCGTCAAAAATATATAGTGATTTATTCAGCCGATGACGTCGACATTCCGCTAAAGATTTTAATGACAGAATTTCAGTAGGATTTGCTTAACCGCGCTTGGAATGTTGTACATGGTGGAGTTTATTCAAGGACAACCCCCCCCCCACTGTTTTCGTAGTGGTTATGCTCTATTAGGCGACGGGCTTAATGGTCCATTTCCAGGCACTTAGCAACTCCGTCAAGACAGGAAATTTGTAGTAAAAACGTAGAATGCCACCTGGATTACAATGATCCCAATATTAGCATTTTGCAGTGTTATTCAGCTATTTCGTAATTAAGTTGTTCTTCCTGCCTTAACTAAACTTTTTGGTGTAGTCTGACAGTCATCATTGATAGTGACGATACACAACTGAGCTCCACTCCAAAGCTGGAGGACACCAGGGAACAGTCAGACATTGCGTATCCGCCATCTTGGACAAGTTCTGCAAGTTCGGGTTCGAAGGGCAGTATTGACACTGATACTTCATAGACATTCCAGTCTTTAATATGCAGCTAAATCATTTTTCCTATGTATCACACGTTAGACAATAAAAACAAATACAAATGTTAATTTTGATATTTGTACATATCAGAATCTTATAAAATGGTGTTTCCACCTGTAAAAAGAGATAGTAGAAACTTGTATAAACAATTTCGTAACCGAATCCTATAAACTTGAACTTTCAACTTGGCGTTATGTTAGTTGATGTTACATATATGTAGTGCAGTACATGTTTTGAAAATTATATATTCGAATGAAATTGTTTTAGGATTTTTATTGTTGAATCAGAATATTTTGACACGTCTCTTACAAAACTATGACAATTTGTAAGCATAATCAATTTATGGAATCATGCTATTGTAAATAGTCTCACAATTAAGACTTCTAATACGTCCAGGAGACATATGCATGTTCGTCATGTTGTAGATATGATCTAATTAGTCTACTACTATCGCATTTGTATCATATTGATTTTCATTGAATTGCGTTACATATAAACAATGCACTTTTTCAAGTATTTTTGTGTCATAAGAGAAAATGTGTTCTATCATAATGCAAAATATACTATAAATATATCGTATTGTACGTAATAAATTCATTAAATCTATTCTTTTTACCTTTTTTCTTATCAATTTGAAATTAATGTTAAGGCGAAATGTTCATGACTAAGACTGATAATGCCAGTGGACCACAACAAACGATTGTAATTAAGAACTGCTTAACTGCTTGTATCAAATTCCTGACCCAACTTGACCCGTTGGTCGTTTTCCAGCGTTCATAGACAAGATGGCGTCTAAACCACTGTGTTTGGTAACTCAAAACTAAGGACACAGCAAGTAATTTTTATGGATGACATCAGCGCGCGCATTGATTTTTCGCCTGATTTTGGGGAAAAAAAACAAGAAATTTGTTGTTCTTTGAAAGTGGTCAACATGCCGAAAATGGGCAAAGATGTCTGATGCCATGCCGGAACTTGGATGGCAGATAATGAAGAGAGGAGACAAGACAAGGCTCTGATTTAATGTTTTACTTTGATGCAGTGATGTGTTTCATTCCTTAAAATGTAATGGTGGCTGTGTATATGTAATGTTCCCACTGAATCAAAAACCATTTGTACAATAATTGAAAATTTTATTTTTCAAAGTTGTTTCAGTGAGAAATGGATGTTGTAACAGTTAGCAGTAAACTTAGCACAACATAGGTAACATTTCTTGTTCGACAAGGTTTATGATGTCATAATTTGAAAATGTAGGAATCTTGTTTATTTGGCTCGCCTTGTTTTTTTTTTCGCCCTATCGCATTAGATTTTGAGTCTGCAGAGGATGCCATCCATAAAATTTACTTGCTGTGGCCTAATCAGACTACTTGCAGCGAGCCGTACCATATATATTCTCTATTTAAAAGAAACGTGATATCAGAGAGGAAATTGAAGGGATGTACAACGACGCACCTTCGACTTTTAGGCTTTCGGTTTTCCTCGGGTTACTAGAAAAGAAGAGTTCACATCACACAAATTATTCATAAAGGGCTTATCCCCCACCTGCGCTTTTGTTATAGGTAATAAAGGGCGTGAGATATTCGATATTTTGCAGATCTGATGTTAATCCGCATTCGGGGTCCAACCTACTTTCGCCATACGATGGAATTATGTTATTTGATAACAGGGACGAATCATGTGCACAGCGAGGAAGTTGGCAAATTCTATTAGCTCGCGTAATTTGAGTAATGTCGCCCATGATTAAGACGTAGTGTAGACGGAGAATATTAGTATAGATTGGATACTGGAATGTCACTAGATGTTCCTGTGTGCAAATATGTGATGCGCATTTTGGCATAGACGTGCGTTTCGCATGCATTAGCTTTTTTGTGACTCGCATATAGAGGATCCTGATTCGATATATGCGTATCCTCGCTATGTTTGCGGAACATGCTCCTGCGTGAGGTAGAAAGTTCTGTGTAAAGCACGATTGCTTTCGCAGTTCTGTAATCAAATCGTCCTTCCAGCAGTGTCGTCGGATGCAGTACGAAGAAGGTAGGCATTTTGATGTTTGCTTCTTTGTAGGTATTGTTGTTAGTACTGTACTATGTTGACACTAAAATGATTAGGCGCTATTAGGCGACGGCGCATTTTAGTGGCATAATTTGGATGACACTAAAATGAAATGAAATTACGTGCATATAATTTAGCTTTTTGTGGGAGGGGGGTGTAACGGGTGGTCGTTTGATTGCTTTAGTACACATCCAATATGATATCTGATATCTAATTTTTAGTACACAAGATACCAGCACTTGTACAGATTCGTGGTCTCAACTTGCCAGATATACAGACCACTAGCCAGTGTTTTTTGAGTAAACGCAGCCGATGTCATCAACAAAAAAATCTATTAACATAAATTGTTGGGTCGTGTGGCGTAATGTTAGTAAGAGTACTCGACTCGGAACTAGAGGTCCCGGGTTCGTGTCCTGACATACCACCGATCTTCTGCCATTAAGAGAGGCACTTTACACGACTTTCCTCACTTCGCCCAGGTGAAAATGAGTATTGTGTTGTCCTCTGTGTTGGTGGTGGCATCAATATAAGTTGAAAAAAATTGAGTGTGTCCTCACAAAGTCTTGTGATTACATGATGGAATATGAAAAAAATCTAGCATATGAATTACTGAAAATCAGTATTCGAAGACTTGCCATAGTTATGAAGTTGACGTACCGACTGAAAGAGTGCGATTAATCTTTCCAGCTTCTAGTCTTATTTTTAGAAGACAAAAAAATTAGATATTAGCTCCAGTTCCGTCGTCTTGACGTCTACTCGTCTCCTCCTTTCCTTCCCTGTCATACTTGGTGAAGATGGAGACCGAAAGTAATGACTAATCTCCCCAATCCTACCCATACCTGTGGGAAATCACTCTGTCCTCGCCACTAATACACCGTGCGCCTTAAAAAATGATAAGGGGAGCAAGGCTGGTCTGTACTACAAAGCCTCGCGGCTCACACTTGTGACGTGCTGCTTCAGCTTTTAAGATAAGAAGCTTTTGAAAGAGTCTTGGTGACATTTATGAGATAAGACTGACGGGCTTCGAGAGGGGAATAAGTCGACATTTGCAAAACTTCCAATCTACCATTCCTTTAAGGTTGACTGACGGTGTATCAGACTCACAGGATAATTGAAAACGTCAGTTGAAGATACACACGCTGTGTATACTTATAGCTTGATATGTGGTAAGTAATTTAGAACTGTATCCACTTTACAAATATGCTTTATTCTTGAGTATAAACTTCTTTGCCATGGAGGGTTTTCTATGGTTAACCGGTTCATTCAACTTTTGAAGATATGAAATATCAAATAATCTTATAACTGTCAGAATACAGCTAATTCTTGGAATATGCATATGCATGGGAAGATGCATATGTTACCTTTTTAGTGTTGTTGTTGTCCTCACTCTTCAAATAGTGCACGGAAAGAGAACATCTACGTTTACTAGTGTTAGCTATTTCTCTTGCTTGAAATAAACCAGACATGACTGACAGAGTGCGCCCATTGAAGATTGACGCTCCTCATCCCACAAACACATTTCTTCACCTTAAGGCGACACATGCTCCTATAAAGGAAGTACGCGACGCCCCGTGGGAATTCCAACACGTCTCTTCGCTCCTGAAAACACATTTGCCGCCGTCAGTTCAGCGGATGTGCGATGGTCTGTGCGCCTTAGAAAAGCCGAGATAGAACCATGTCGCACCAAAGGTCACTGAATACATGTAGATGCACATACAGCAAGACGCCTTACGTCTGATGGATCTATAAAGAAAATAGGAAGACACACAAGATGATGTAGCCAGAAACGCGAAGGGACAAAGAAGAATAACACTGCCCTGGACGGTATTCTAAAGCCAGCTCAGCTAAAAGACCTAGATATGTTGCTTTTAGCGGAGGACAGGTCTTTTATATAAGGTCAGAAAAGGACAGAGGTATCTCCTAGATGGATCTTCTGAGATACAAACATGTAGAGACCACTACAAGATAGATGTTCTATTCTTGTTGACATATACAGACGTGTGTGGGCTCTGTCTGGTTCCATTTTAAGAGTTAAGGAAAATTTATTGTTTTGTTCACTATTGTGAATGTCTGGCTGATTCTGTACATATTCCATTTTCACGGACGTAACATCTGTGTCCAAAATATCACCAGGGTCCATAATATCGCCACCTTGAGAAAAAGTGTGCTTAAAGATATTTTTACTGCAACATACCCTAGGTATATACATTTGAGATGTGCAGGAGTGCATACCAAAAGTATGTTGCAGTAAAAATATCTTAAAGCACACTATTTCTCAAGGTGGCGATATTATGGACCCTGGTGATATTATGGACACGGATGTTACATGCTATTCTTGAGTTACTGCGTTCCTCCACCGTGACTATAGGGAGCATTTCGCCCGCCAGTTCGGCCTTCCTGAAAGCTATATATAGTCCTCGGTCCATCACTTAAGTCACTTCTTGTGACTCAATGGTAAATGAGTCTGTGCAACCTTTACTGAACTACCCTCACCTTCGTGAGTTTGAGACATTATTATACGTCATGTTCAGAAAGTTTAGAGACGTCTGAATGGAAGTTTTCACCTTTCAAACCTGTGAGGACCCCAAACTGAATCGAAGTTGTGAAAACAGACCATTAGAAAAGACGCCCTACGTGTCTTCAAATCACTTTCCGTTTGTTTTTGCTTTTACCTGAAGTACTCAGATTGCACAGGTTATCAGGTAGGCTGGATCTGGAGTGCTCAACGTCTGGAACTGCGTCAGTGAAGTCAAGTACAAGTGACAGGGTGACATTTCTCTCAGACGCAAACAAACTACTCAACTTTCTATTCTCGTGACTCAGAGGCAGGCATGGCAAGTTTGCTTTCAACAAGCTCACAATTATTCCGACGTTCACAGAAAACATTCGTTAAGATGTTGAATAGATGATGTTTTGGACAGGGAAATCTATCATAAGAAGAACATTAATAATAACTTTGATACTTCCTTTGAAAAGGGTTATTTTGACTTTTAAGTGTCTTGCTTAGTCTCATAAAAAGCTTCGTTTGCATTCGGGTTTGTTAAGTTGGATTTATACTGGATTTTGGTCAAATCCAATGGCCTGAAATCAAAGGCCTGATTTGATCCAGCCAAATTGAACGAAAGCAAAGGCAACACCGATCCATATATACTCTGTATCTCTACGGTCATATTCGATGACGCTGTATCTATTTTAAACCACGTAACGATGTTCGTTCTAAGGATTTTCCAAATGAATGTCTGATTGACTTGTAGGGCAGACTTATCTGATCGATAGATTGCTCATTAGCTGACGTCTGCTTCGCTTCTTGTAAAGATCATAATACAATAATATAATCGCATGTGCCTCAGATGTTGTGACTGCACTTTCAGGGGAAAATCCTCCGTCGTCTGATGACTCTAAAAGAGTAAAGACTTCAGAGCCTCTTACTAGTCTTAGGGCCCATAGAGGGTCATGGGTTGTTGATATTACATGTGTCTTGTGTGAGGTTTTGGAAGGGGGTCCCATTCCTACCTATGTTATAACGTTAACAGATATAATGTGAACATAGAATTATGAATACATTGAATTATGCCTAGTGTACACGTATGTACAGGTACAATAATTTCTATGTATTTATACTGTATGCATCTTTTTAAAACTCTAGGAATAATAACATTTGTATATGAATTGTATGAAAGTTTATGTAGTAATGAAGTGCACACGCGCACAAAGTGTCCAAGTATCCCGAACGGAAATCTCTTAGGGAAAATGAATACTAATACATTCAGTCGACGACCTTCTGAAGATAAACAAGCTTCGGCCGAAGGTCGTTGGCAGTGTTGGACGGTCTTTAATTCGTGTAATAAGATTAGTTGCATGTGCCTCAGATGTTATGGCTGTGCACATGTGCTTTCAGAGCAAAATCCTCCATCTGATTACTCCTAAAGATTAAAGGTCACAAACCCTTTCAGAGACAAGAAGAGCAATAGGTGGAATCCATTTGTTCAATATATAAAAATAAAAGACTGCTTTGTTATTAGAAAAATTGCCAAAACTCGTGATTAGCTCCACTTTATCAAAGATTTGTGCTAGCACTTGTTGCTTGGGTTATTAGGATATATTAGGTTTTATTCTACGTTAGGCCTTATTCAGCACATTTCCTTTTTTTTTTACTATGCCATACATTTACCATGTGCAATTTTCGTGCAATAAAGTTGTATCCAATTCTTTCGGTCATATCACTGCATTTTACCTCCCCAACCAAAGTCAATGAACTCATTTTACACCTGGATGGAGTGAGGAAAGTTGTGTAAAGATTTTCAGGCAATTATGATCCATTGTCTGACGAGTCTGAAAATAAACAACCTTCTGACAAGCTTGGTTACGGCGGCCTGTCCTTTAATAATCCATTAGTTGACTCACTGTGCACCTGTGCACCCTGTATAGCATCTGTTCATTATCTCAACAACAGTTTGTTTTCCTTTTTGAGCAGCAAGATCCTTTCATACGCCAAGGACGTTTGCGACTTGTTCTTAACCTTTTTTTAGATTTGTTTGCAAATGGTACCTCTATGGACGGCAAACGTTTAAGCCTGTTTCACCACTTTCTATCAAATGTGTTTTTTAAGTAATCCATAGAGTATGAAAGAGACTAGCTTCAATTCGTCACATTTATATAGTTTATGACAGGCCAGTTACTCTGTATAGCGTGTTACTTAGTCAAGAGCGTTACACTCATCAGATGCTTTCAAGATAGCCATAGATGACGTCCATGTTGCTTGTAAAAGATAAAGCATGTCACAAAGAGGTCGTATACTATGAAAATCTGAAAGAATATCTCTTTGAATTCCCTCACAAAAGACTTACACCCTGTAATAGAGCTTGGAAACATCGGTCAATTGGTAGATCCTGTGCAGAAATTGTAGGTGGGTGTTTGAAAGGCACACATCATGCTAGCTATTGAAAGCGCACACAATAGTCCATCAGGAATTCTTCAATGGTTGACCAAAAATGTCAACCAGGATCTCATCCCGTGGGTTTGTGATCACATTCCTTATTGACGCCTAGTTGTATCCAGAACCGTCCATGCGCATCCAGAACCGTGTCTGGGGCAAGTCTACATTCTTGGATACACGTAGACTATCCAGAACCGTGCCTGGGGCAAGTCTACATTCTTGGATACACGTAGACTATCCAGAACCGTGCCTGGGGCAAGTCTACATTCTTGGATATACGTAGACTATCCAGAACCGTGCCTGGGGCAAGTCTACGTTCTTGGATACACGTAGACTATCCAGAACCGTGCCTGGGGCAAGTCTACGTTCTTGGATACACGTAGACTATCCAGAACCGTGCCTGGGGCAAGTCTACGTTCTTGGATACGCGTAGACTATCCAGAATCGTGCCTGATCCTACCCGACCCATTCAGGCATAGAACTAGATAGGCACGGTTCTGGATACCATAACGCATTTTCCATTGCTTGGATGAAGACTATTGTGCCATCAAAAATGGATTTTTATTTTCTATGACTTGATGATCGATCAATGATGTTAATGTTTGATTTGAAACACCACAAAAGCCACGTCTTTAATAAGGAACCTTGTTTGAACAACTAGACGTGATTTTGGTCGCTCAAAAAATGAATGATCACTGCCTCAATGGGAAAGGGATACAAGGAGATTAACCATCTAGGTCGTCGCTACTGTCCTTGTCATTTGTTATCTGGCACTGACATGGAAATGTTGGTTCATTAACAGGATCTGTCTGACAAATAGAACTCGCAACATTATCAGCTTTTGGGTCGTATCTACTGAGTACGTTCATCCCTACGCAAATTGAGACATGGCCTTGCCCCCTCTCTAATGACTGTGGTTACACTTGGTGACTATGTATGTCAACAGCATTATTAGCCCAAATGGGCAGTGATATCTAACGCAAACCAAAGTCTTCAGTCTCCATGTCTTTGACGTGTTCGTGACGTGTTTTCTTATTTTGATTCCGCTGCCTTGTGTTTTAGGGTGTGTCCAGCATATCTAGAGGGTGCTTCAAAACGTTGACACTGAACAGATGCTGTGGATAAATTTTAACCAGAAAACTATCCACGAAAACCGAAATTGAAGCGGAGAAAATTCTGCTGCACTGCGATGCCGCCATGAGATGTATGAACGTCAACACAACCACGTCACCACATTATTACCAACCATCGATGTGACGCGCTGAGTTGAATATGTTGATATATTATCCCAACTCGTGACCACGGACGAAGGGAATTTCATTATCAGTGAGCGCACATCTGGCATTTCGCCGTGTGAGGGGGAGAGAGAGAGAGAAACACTGTACGTACGTGCACCTTCACCACATCAACAACCATACCCGCAGCGATGGCCGTGACTCTACGCAGCGGATTCAGTCAATGTTAAATCATACGAACCCACAACAGTTGAACATTTAGCTGGAAATGGGGATAAAATTCTTAAAAAAGAGAATTAAGAATCCATGAGTACGCTCTCGCGACAGAAAGTGACACAATGTTCTACTCCAACGACACGTTGAGCCTGCTGCAGATCCTGTTGCCGCTGCTCGAACGGTACAACGAGAGTCTCCACCTCCCGGAGGTTCGCACCGAGCTGCCGCCGACGTCCCTGGCGGCTGACGTCCCCACGCAGTTGTTTCCTGACGCTATCTTAGTCCCGGTGACGGTGTTATGCGGGTTGTTGTTTGTCGTGGGCGTGACTGGGAACATCCTGACTGTTCTGGTGATAGTGCTGGATCGGGGCATGAGAACTACTACCAACTTCTATCTAGCAAGGTAATAACTTTGTTTCTGCCTCTATACGTATGCACCAAAATCAACTGAGATTTGAGAACGACAACCAACCTCTATCTAGCAAGGTAACAACTTCACTGTCCACTATGTGGTTAGTTTGTTATAAGTGTTTGTTTGGATTTATTTATTAATCTAGCAAGGTAACAACGTATTCACCTACCATGTTGTTTGATTGTTTGTGCCTTTGTTTTTTTTTTGCATGTTATCGACGGTACCTCTTGGCCGAGCACTCGTACTCGAGTCAGAAAGTCCTCTCTGTGTATGCATGTATCTATGCACCTCCCGGCTGTTTTTCTATCAGGTCATGTCGATGCTACTATTATTCTTGAAAATATGATATTATCATACTATTTTTAAAAACACCTCAACCATGTTTTTGCTTTCAGAGTCAATTTATATGTTCGCTTGTTCGTTGCCATGCATTATCTATAATAAACATATAAAATAAAAACATTACCTTCCCATCTCCTTTCCCCTTTAAGAGTTTAGTAGACTAACGATCTACAATGATGACATGCGGAAGCCTGCAGTGATGTGATTGTCGTCCTAAAGAGATATTACACGTCCAATAACCTTTATAACCCGTCCTATCTCTTTTGCCATACACTCGTCACTGATAACCTGCGGCCTCGAACCCAATTAAGATTTCAATAAGAGATAGACCCGAAACGTCACGTAGAGAATGTATTTTATACTGATATTTTTGTTATACCGATATACATTTACAGAATTGTAGAGCAGATGAATAAAATCTTGATAAATTCGTCTTATAATTCGGTAAAAGCACCCCCTAGGATATAGTATATTACCTTGCTTTATAGGGGATTCTTATTTTACGTCTAGTCAATTCTTTTAAAGATTACTCTTGTCAAAGATTACTGGAGATCCCACAGGACATGAATGGCGCGGCTCTAAAATACATAAAGTGCAATTGATATGATACAGAATGTTGCTTGGGAAAGTAATGCAAAACTATCGTCCCTTATACATTACCGACCTATAAATACTCATGTATATATCGTACAAAATCCGGCTGTCTTATTCAGGGAAAAGCTGTCTTCGGTCTTTGTCGGTGGTTGATTTTGCCACAGCCTGCTCGAAAATTTCGTACGTCGTTCTACGACGGTTATGAATACACCTTCTGCAGAACATCTTCACACTGAATGGCGTGTTTTGATCTCCAAGCAGATTCTATGGGCCAAGGGGAGTCTATGTTGGCCGCCTGTAACCGTGATGCGAGTGGTTACACCGATGGTCACAGGCGCCGGCGGCCAACATAGACTCCCATTGCCGCACAGAATCTGCCTGGAGATTAGACGTGTTTATAATTATATAAGGAAAGAAAGACCTTTACTGTACGTTTATGCTCTTACAACCTAATATAAGTTCAGGTCATGAATAAACAGGGAAAAAGAATACAGCAATAACACTTGGAGCTAATGAACATATGGAGCTAATGATACATGGTTTAGCATCAAGTTTCATAAGGAATAAGAATTTTTCTGTTTCATCTAAAACTTCTAAAGCTGGGGAACTTATCTATTATAAATGAAGAAGAAGAACTTTATTGCACGACAATTGCACATGGTACAATGTATGGCAAACTACATAAAGAGAGTAACAACAATAAAATAAGTGTATATAAGTATAGAGGGAATCCCTCTCATTTCTATATAATGTACAATATCAACTACAAAATGACGGTCATCCTCAATTTTATCTAAATCACAAATTGCTGCAGTTTGGCGGTTGCTGACTTGATGACGTTCGTGGTCCTGCCGGTGGAGTTGTACCGGCTGTGGGAGTTCCAGCCGTGGGAGTTGGGACCTGTGGTCTGCCGCCTGCTCTACTACCTGAAGGAGACCTTCACCTACACCTCCATCCTCCACATCACAGCATTTACCATCGAGAGGTCAGTTTTCGAGAGATCCCTCAAAATCGCACATGGCAGAACACTGCCATGCTGTCCAAACTGTCATTTTGAATAGAACTCGTATTGTATCCCGAATCGTGCCCATCTAGTTCTATTCCAAATAGGGCTAGGTTTAAGAGGCTACTTCCCTGCCAAATCCTAAAAGGCTATTTCCTGCCTGGGTGACACCGGGTTTAGAGATCAAAAACACGAGATCCCCAAATGTCATTAACCCCTAGTGAGGTACAAACAGCCAAGTCGAATTAATCCTAAAAGGCTAAGAGAGGGACACATGGTGATACTGTCTTGATCCCGGAAAGCTACTCAACTTAGAAATGATCGATAAGAAGGCTCAGAAAATCACTCAAAGAAATGACTGAACGTCAGAGTGTATCAGCTTCAATTTTTGATGTACAAAACCAAAGTCAAACATGTGACGCGGCATCTTCCTTTCAAAACCTCTTAAAGATGGATTCAATCTTTCTACAAAGAAGCTGAATCCTTTCATGACGCATCTTTCTAGTCTTGGGCATTGGTAATCTAGCTTATGCAAAGAAAAAATGAAAAGAAAAATAAGTAAGGCCACGACTGGATTTCGTCAGAAGTGCAATTTCTAAAAACTCCTTGCTGGTGTTTTAACAAGTCGAGTGCCGCGGGACACCGTAAGGACAAACATTGTAAGATTACGTAAATGTCAACGGAAATATGAAGGGATATACACCAGAAATCCTGATGTAAGAGGGTTATCTATCACCATGCAAAGAAATCCAGCTTAGCTTGTATCCAAACCCTGCACATGTTTTCACTTTGTTGCTGTTATATCAATATGTTTGATTTTTTTTAGAAAATAAATGTTTCTTTCAGAAGTTTTTTACTTTAGTCTCGTCTTTTTCTTATGATAAATGTAAATATAAAGAAATCATAAAATCAAATATCATAAATTAAGGATGCGTTGATCGAAAAAATAAACATTGGGTCAAGGCCCGTCTAATGGGAGGGAACCCTTCAATAGTCATGTCGTATTTTCTCATAAAACTTACGATCCTCACATTTTATCAAATTTGACGTGCGTCAGACCGCTATCATAAACGCATTTTGATTCAATCCTCCAAAAGTTGCTTTCGGGTAAAATCAAATCAGAACACCACATGTTACTAATGGCTGTGCGAAGGCATTAGTATTGACCTTTCATTTCCGTTTCAGATATTTAGCTATCTGCCATCCTTTCACCGCTAAGAGAGTTATCCGGAAGTCCCGCGTGAAGAAGTTGATCTTGACGATTTGGGGAGGAGCGTTTGTGGTCACAGTTCCCGTGCTCTTCATATTCGGCTTGGAGCAACGGCGAGGGAATAGCGGGCCTGTCCAGGTATTTGATCGAATATGAATTTCATACAAAATGAGAAATAAACCGCTCTCCAACTGAAAAAAAAAATGGATTCATCGGAATTTTTGACCCAATATCTCAATCTTCATCAGGTATCTGACCCAAGGGCTGTATACACGTGATTTTTCTGCATAGACGTCAGCTCTGGGTCAAAGTTCACCAGAAGTCGGTGCCGCCCACCGTCCCGAAAAAAAAACGTGCTACAGGAGTTTGGTCGTCAGATAGCTGGTGTGGACCGGTCGAATTCGGAAGAATTGTCCACTCAGTCAATTTTTACAAGTTTGAGAAAAGTTTCTCTCTCTTCGTATAATTTACCAACTCAGGTGGACTATTATGCTAGGAATATTAGGCTTGGAGATTACTACTTTTGTACTATTGGGCTGCATGTGCGCGCATGCTTTATCCATAACTATGCTCAGACACGGTTATGGATAGTCCACGCGTACCAAGAACAGTACGTAGGGGCAAATCTTCGTTCTATCCAGAACTGTACCCGATCCTAACCCTAACCCATTCAGGCATATTCACGGCCACGGTTCGGGGTACAATAGGTTGAATGCTTTCCTTTCTCACCAGGCTTGCACAGTGCTGGAGGACTCCAAGCTATCCGGTCTGCTCCTCGTGGCCACCGCCTCCTCTACGGTGTTCTTCTTCGGCCCGGTGGTCCTGATGAGCGTGATGTACAGCCTCATCGCCCGGCACCTGCGCACCAGGACCGCACAGGCATGCAGCTCCTCCTTGCGGGTGAAGGAGAAAAGCAAGGAGCAGGTGGTGAAGATGCTGGGTGAGCGTTTTTTTTGGCGACGCCTCGAAAGCGGTGCCTTCTTTTTTTTTTACAGTATCTGGCCCCGTTTACTTCAGTTCACCCTCTTAGTAGCTGCCACAAATCATGTGTAGAGACTATACTACTTCATGAATGATATAAACAATTGAGACTACGAGATAAAGGCATTCATTGTAAAGATCGTCACTGGTAGGTTCGGTTATGCCACCTAGCGAGATCGAATTGAACTGCATCCTAGCTATATTATCTGTCCACAGGAGTGGTGGTGGTCGCGTTTGTGATATGCTGGCTGCCTCATCACGTGGCACAACTAACCTTCTCCAACATACAGGTCAGTATTAGAAACAATTACGAATGAATGACTACAGAGATATAAACGTAAACGGCGTGTTGACATTATGTACGTTAAACATTTCTGTCTGTTACAATACATTCTCTCTTTTGTAAAGCGCTACATATATGTGGATAAGGATATAGAAGACTACCCCCCCCAAAAAAAAACAACACTTTATAAAGTATGCTTGTTGTTTAAAGTTAAAACTTTTGATCCAACACGAAACGATTATCTCACCTAGAACTTTCGACCGGTCACTCTGGTCTTCCTCAGTGACCCAGTGAGGCTTGTCACGTGGCTTCTTTGAATTAAGTGTGACGTCAACACTGGGTCAAAAGTGTCTTGTAGACGATGTCGGCCCCCGTCGCGGTTAAGTGAAGGGTGATGGGCCCTGATGTAAATAGCCTCTTGTGTTGGATCAAACGTTTTAACTTTAAACATGTAACTACCAAACACAGATGAACTTTCAGGAAAGTTTATTTCTTGTGTGTACAAATATGCTTTAACCTCTTTTGTACATCAATTTCAAATCAAACGCAGATTTGGACGCAGAAGACTACCACGATCAACAACTGCATCATGATCACGTCGTTTGTCCTGGTCTACGTCAGCGCCACCATCAACCCCATCCTCTACAACGTCATGTCCGACAAGTTCCGAAAGGCCCTGCGCAGACTGCCCACCAACATGGCCGCCAACGTCATCCGCCGGACCAAGAGCGGGAACTTCGCCCGTCGCCCGCTGAAGAACTCCCCCAGCGCCAGCTCCGACACTACCGCCTTCCGCACCCGCGGCACCATCGAGCAGGCAGAACCTCTGTTCTCATCTGTGTATTACTGCACCACGGTGTAACACTTCTTATTCTTCAAACAATCATCAACATTGCAGATATAACATATAGATGTACTACAAGAAATTTAACCTTTAATTACATACAGTTCACTAGAGTGAAGAAAAGTAAGAAAATGAGCTTTAAGGTGTCCTTAAATATAGAATTTTGTGTAGTGACAAGAGACACCCTGTACATATTTTGTCAATTCAGTGTTAACATTGATCAAGCTTTAATAGCGTGCACGTATATTTTGAAGTCCAATGCTGCATTTAATGTGAATATTTTACACTGTAATTTGATGAAATGGTTGTATATGGAGACTACATGGTATATGTCTGTAAATGTACATAAAACACGATGAAAACAGATGAAATATTACAGGGTACGTTAAAATATCGGTGCACATATGTTGCGAAATCAGTGCACATAGCTACGATAAGAATATTCGAAACAGCACAGGTATATACTTGGATTCACTTCACAGGGATAGATAAAAGTTGGTAGTTCTAGTAATATCCGCAAGTGGGCTCTTTTGTACGGTAATGGTAATTTGACCAAAATAGCATACACGGTCACATCAAAGATGTTGACAAGGGATGATAATAAATTTTTCTAGCTGTCCGAGCGCCATTTGTCACACTTGAAAGAACCATCTAACATATTGTTATGTTTATCTTCGCAGAAGGAAAATATATTGTTTTTGCTCTGTTTCGTCTTCTTCTTCTCCAAGTACATAAGGTCAATGACCTGGACCAAACGTCTGTCACCATGGTAACTGATACTGTAGCGAACGTAACATCCTTTGATGTCGGGTTACATTACAGAACAGGATTCTTCTTCACTCATGTTTTTCTCGCCTCTCTCCTACTGATATTTTAAAAGGCATCACGCCGAAAATGCCGACAGTAATGTCCAGTGAACGTGACCAAAGGTTTTATACTTGATTTTTTGTGGGAATGGGAGCTAAAGCCCTCTATTGCCGGTGGAGTCTACAACTTTCTGATTCGATCTTGTATAATAGATGAGAATAATGCTCTTTGCGCGCTCACACCATTCATTTCACTGAAATGCTTCAGCTACTTTGTGCTTAAGTTTGTAAATACAACTTGCCTTCTACGTGAACCTTTTCCCCAAGATCTACAACCCGACACCTTGTCATTATTTTGCCGAGGGGAAAGAATGCGCACTTTTGACCTTGTCCCTGTATGGCCACGTAAACATGTATGAATCCCTAACACGGCGTAGACTCAGTTAACTTTGTAACGTCGACAGGTAAATCTTTTCAAAGAGGCACAAAAGCGTGTGACTGGCTTGTACATAACGTGATTACCCCTGAATGGGGACTGGCTTAATCTTGCATGGACCTAAAAATAGGACCTCTCTAATGCTCCCAATTTCTGCACATGAATACACCTGCACACAGAACGGTCGTGAGATCATGGAAAGCGAGATAATACGGAAAAATAAGGTTACAGCGCCGCTTGTGATGTTAATGAGTGGGTGAGATTGCAGGCAGCCCGCTAGACGATTATCCGTAAGCGCGGGGGTCGGAGTGCTGTAAATTTGTCTGGGAATATCTGCATGCTATGTTACAGAGTGGCAGGGCAGGCTTATCTCACCGCCCAGACAAATGCATCGGAGCGGAGGGTAATTCTCGGTAGGCTGGCTCGTGGATGTGGCGTCGGTGGCGCAACGGTTAGAGCGTTGAACCCGGGCTCATTGGACTCGGAACCTGGTTCGATACTCACCGTGGCCCGACGATGTGCCCTTGGGAAAGGTACTTTACACGACTTCCCCACCTGTACGGTGGAGTGACGCCCACCGAGCCTCTAAGGCTAATTTGTCTGTATGCTAAAAACACACTACGGATTTGGTGCGCCAATGTGTCAACATCAGCACATTTGCCACCGAGAGCCGTTGTTTGGCTTGTGGATAATCTCCAAGCAGAGGTTGGGTGGAAAGACGTGATATTCTCTTGCTGCCAGGCTTCTACGACAGCTATCCATATACAGACTGGATCACGGGGAGAACCTTAAATGATGTTGCCACTATTTAAGGCATTCGTTGCAATTTCAGGCTGCCAAAACAAAAAAATACATCCGGAAATCTGTCTGATATTGACATTTACTGCCATTTCGTGGCACATTTTCGTCATCATTTCATACTTGAAGCATTTGAAATAAATCCAAAACAAGCTACAAGCATGTGACGTCTCTTTATATTTGGGCACCGCCCATAATTGGCTAGAACCAACCTACGTTACAAAACAAGTAACCGTTTTTCGTCAGTGAGATCACATTTTTGCCTCACAGATATCAGTATGCTATTGGATAGGGTTGGCTCAAATTACTACATACAAGGACTGACCGGGAAATTAACCTTGAACTGACCGGAAATCCAGTTTTGTAACCCTGAAATTGCATTGGATGATTTTAACAACAATCCGAAGAAGGTTTTCAAGAGGTTTATGACTTAAATCTAAGGTAGGTGTCAGAAAAAAAAACATTAGTCAGAAAAAGTCACGTTTTCCCACGACATCTGCCTGGACATTAACATGCAGATACAAGGGCGCCTTTGGGGGCAATGCGTTGGATTACTAAATAGCTGGCCTTCTCAGCAAAAGCTACGGCACAACTCACATGAAACACTTTTAAACGCCCACAGAAGCCTGCATTGAGAGGCTACATTACATAAGCAAGACCCCATACACCCTTACTCAATCTTCTTGTTTACTCATCCCGACAAGGAGACGCCAGAAGAATTATGAAGCAGCACCGAGAGGCTTTGAGACAACTCAAGAGATTTTCGTAAAAGATCATAAGGAACAAACGACTTTGGACAGCGCTCAGTGCCATGAATTCCCTTTATTTGGCCGTGATCAAATTACACGAAACCTTAAATATACTTTCATACATATCAATTAAACCACAGTCTTTTATACAATTATAACGCATATTAATAGGCTCTTAGAACCATCCTTATACCTGTTATCATATACATATACACTTCGTTTTTATCGGGCACAGACCGGTAAAAGTTAAAATCAGCTGGTTGTATCAAAATATGTGAATACCCAATTTCTGCTCTTCAAATTGCAAACGTCGTCCCAGGCCACGTATTTAAAAAGGCAATCTTTATATAGTTTTCACTGTCACATATTTCCGTATAAGTACTGAGGTACAGAATGGCATCTTGCAGATTTCTTGACGCTTAAATTCTTGGCAGTCACTAACCCTTTTTACGAAAAACACACCGTCGTTTAAAATGTTGTCTACGTGCCAGCGGTAAGTGCCAACAGTTCTCAGAAGAATTCCTTTACGCCTTTGACAAGCCAAAACGGAAAGGGCGACCTTTTACATAAGCCGTGCGTCAATGTTAGTACGAGTACTTTACATTTTACAGCAGACAACACCGCTACATTTCGTATCAAATCTGCAACATTTTGTAACAGATTTTTCAAGAGTTACCCATACAAGTTCCGAATATAACGACATCGAATCTATACGAGATTATTTCTCACGTAAGCAACATTAAAAATTTGCAATCAATCTGGTGTGTAACCTTGTTGTTTTGGTAACAATGATTTGAAATCTTCTGCTTCTATGATCAAAGCAACCAGGGGTGAAAACATCTGTATCCTGAAGCAAGGTTTGCACTGTAATTTCAAACACAAAAATATGGACCCAAATTTTCGTCTGTCCAACTCAAAGAATGAGCAATCCACCTCTTTTTTTTTGATGTCACGTTATGCAAATTGGTTAGCAATGGATCTTAAGTCGAAGGAAATTTGGGTAAGCTGTTTTCGTGTTGGAAATTACAGTTCAACATCGGTTTAGAATGATTTCTACCCAGACGAGCCTTTAAGCTATAACAATCATCTATGGCTTACGATATGCAGGCATATAGATCATAGTAGATGGCCGCTTGCATTTCAATAATTTTGTTCACCAAAGATCATAAAAATCATAAGCACAGTGAAGGAAGGTTTGCGCCAAAATGAATAAGAATTTTTTCAGGACATGATATTTAAAGTTAGCTTGGGAACTTTGTTTTTTTTGTTAAATTGAAAATATGGGCTCCTTATAATATCCGATCTGTAAAGACTGACACCAATTCAGTCAGTTGACTGCCAATGTGGGATTGCCTGAGCACTCAATAAACCAATCATCTTCATTATCATAATCATCATGTAATAGGCCATGTTAATTTGATTATACGGATGACATCCTCTGGGAACCCCAAAACTGATGCGGACGTGCATAATTAAAAGTTTGGCATAAAGTTACCTTCATAACGGCATTCTATAACATTAGTACCCTTTTCCAATTTTCTGGGGGGCAATTTTTGCATTGTACGATTTACAGTATTGTCAAAAACTTTTCTTTGGAAACGGACGAAAATTCTTTCGCGCGCAGATGTCATCGATATAATCAAATCAACATGGCCTTATCATTAGAAGAGGGTCTTTTTCATAACAACGATGTTTTACTCCATTTGCTACATAGTCGGCATCGCCTCTACTATGAGTCTATCTTTGAGAAGTTACACCCATATGTCTGCAATATTCTACAAAACATCTCATGTATGTATATCTTGTTCTTCCCCAAAGTAAGAACGATGCAATTATAACATTACACCCATGGAACATCGAGTGCTCCAAAGTACACAAAATCCAAACATTTACATAACTTACACCAACAGTCAAAGTTGTTGAACAACAGCCAATATGACCATAAAACACAGATACCAATATTTTCAACAACAATCTGTTGAATATTTCACAAACTGAGACACCAAATACTGCATATTATTATATAAACGTCATTAACATTTTACAAGACATCTACGTAATCAAAAAGTACTTCTTCTGGCATCTCTAGTCCGTATATATATATTCTTTTGTACTATATAGGCAGTGATATTTTGGCTCTTCCTGCTTTGAAAACTGCATGTTAGTAAAACATGCACAAGAGAAGCTCAGGAATAAATATCTTCTGTTTTGTCTATTGAATATAATCCATTCAGTATTGCAATTGTGGAGGATGAAAAGAAATCATCATGATTTGGATGGAAGGAATCAGTGGAAAGAAAAAAAGTCTGATCCATTGAGAAAAATCTAAATCATTTTCCACGAAAAAGGAAATTCTATTTCCAAACAAATTATAGAGGCATTTGGGAGGAAAACAACAATAAATACAAATTGTGTCATTATCGTTATATTACATCCACAAACTTCACTGTTGTTAGCAATCTCTAAGTACAATGTGGGTTTTTCTTATTATTACCATAATTCCGCTTCCTTCTAGCAAATTACCCAGTCTTTTACAGCCTCAAACCAAATACCAACACTATTTCTAAGATACTGACCCGTTGTGTCATACACTTTTATCCTTCTTGTTCTTTAAGTACAATGCAGCATCCGTTTTTGTTTTCCAGAAAGTAAAAATATTCTCCTTTTTTCTCTTTCAATATAGATCTATGCATTTGACACAAAGTTGATATGTCTTTGTATACCCACAGTGCACTTACCACAAACTTGACCCTGTTCTACCCAACCGACACATAGTCGCTGATCTCTTCTGATAGCGTCTTCGGGGCACATTTTGGCATCTTCTTGGACTTGGCGTGAAACTGGTCGGCCGTCATCTTGGATGGAGACTTCGGGCCGGAGTATTTCCTGAAGTCTTGCTTCTCCTGTGCGGCTGGCGCGCCGTTGCTGTCGTTGCTGTTGTTGGGTGGTTCTGGCAGGGCGACGATGAGGGGTGCTGGCTGGAGCTGGCTGAGCTGCGACTGCGGGACGTAGCTGTTGTCGCTGCCGGCGTTGCCGCTGCCGCTCCACGGGGCCACCTTGGCTGCCTTCTCCGGCTGCGGCGAGTCGAGCTCGGACGTGTAGGACGTGGTGTCGGTGATGGACGACACGTAGGTGGAGGAGGAGTCGTGATGAGGCCGCCTGTTCCCCATCCCCATCGGCAGGTCCCAGATCACCTTGTACCGCTCGTCTTTGGTCTGCTGGTCCTGCTGGGCCGTCTGCTGCTCCCCTCCGGACGCCCCCTGCACGGGCCGGAACGACACGTCTGAGAAGGGTGGGGTACCGGGGGTGAAGACTTCCTCGGAGGTGCTGTTGCTCCCCTCCGATGACGTGTCCGTCAACTTGGAGAGCTCATCAGGCGTCGGTACGACGTCATAGACCTCAGGGCGTGGCCTGTCTGACACCGGCCAATAGGAGCCGTCCCCGCTTCCCTTCACTACCTCCTCCTGTAAACAAACAAGAAGGTTTCAGACTTCCGGCACTTCCGGGAAGCATGCAATCCTCGGTTCCAGGAATTCCCCCAAGTCGACTACCATGCATATTCCTACTGGCTTACGGCCAAATTCTGAGACCTTCACGTTCACTCCATTTCCTCTGTGTGACCTTTTGAACTGTCAATCTTTCCCACCCACGTGCTGTCAGCCTACTCTTTCCGGACAAACGGATAGTGTTACACAAATCCATAGCTAAGCATTACTTCCGTACCCGGAAACAACAAAATGTTCCAATTGGTTAGTCATTATATTATCACAAATGACATACGCAGCGTGTTACAAATAGAAGCAATCGCAGTATTTTTCCACAGTTAAAATGTACAAAATCTCCACTCTTATACAGGATTTAATGTTTGCTTGTGGCGATGTGAAAGGCAACATTCCTCATCTAGTACAGCATTCTGACTTTACAACCAATTCGCAACTGCAAATCCTACAGCATATACGATTGCTACTGAACGAAATATACGAATCCCACAGTAAAGCCTACAGATACATGGAAATATATGGCGATGGGTACAACAGAATACCAAGTAGACTCACCAGAATACTCGGGAGTTTGGATTTCTTGGCTCGCTGTTCCTTGGAAAGAGTGTGAGTCTTCCGGCAGCACATGATGACTCCCACCAGGAGGCCCAGCCCGATCAGACACGCAATCACCACGGCCACGGACGTCCATGCCCGGCATTCTGTAGGGAATAGAAGTAAATCAGAACAGTGATTAGAACAGCTAGTGATCAATACAGTTAGTGATCAAAACAGCTAGTGATCAATACAGTTAGTGAACAATACAGTTAGTGATCAATATACATGTAATTAGGGATCAATACAGTTAGTGGTCAATGATGTTATTAATTAGTGACCATGACAGAGACCAATACAGTTAGTGATCGATACAGTTAGATACGAAATGAAACTAGAAAGGTAACATTTGCTATTAAGCAAATGCATAATGTTTACCTTCACATATGGTCTGCTCTGTTAATTCTTACTCAAAGACGTTCATATATATAT